AGAGTTCTCAAGTGCTACGCAAATTCCGTAGTTGCTGGTAGTTGCTACAGAAATTTTACCCAAATACGGATGTATGGAAATAGACAAAAATACTATAGAAATTTATCATAGATCTAGACCCATAAATAAATAGGTCTAAAGTCCAAAACAAATGACATTTTATCAGGATCTTTGGTTATATTGTCCCTAGACAAACTCACACTTGTCAGATTACTCATAAATTATTAAGAAAAAGAGGCCCGTAAATCTTCATCCTGTCTGTCGCGTTTCTTAGTTTTATAAATTCACAAGATGTTTTATTCTGTACCTGTATTTAAAAGCAACCCTTGTTTTACATTCAAGACAAATTATTAGTGCTACGGGAATTTTGAATTTACTACAGATATTTGAAGACTTGACTGGGGATGCAGAGGGGATGCAGACGGTGCGATCGCACCCCTCCCCCAAAATTGTATTAAGAAAATAATTGTTGTAATGTATACTTGTTGAAATATTATTTTTATCATTATGAATATAATACCTTTAAGAATTTTAAAATATGAGAGTGAAATTTCCGGGCACCTTGCAGTCCATATCCTCGAAATGTTTGCACCTCAGCTCCAACCATGGTGGGCATCAGGTGTTGTGGACTCTCACGCATTCCCTACCGCCAAATCCTGCACCTGCCCCAGCTTGCTTACTGAAATGCATTTTACTAACCTGAGAAGTTTTTAAAACTTCTAATTTGATTCCAGGTTTAATATTGTATATTTCAAAAATGATTTGAATAAATGTTACTGAATCTGTAAAATGTTACTTATTAAATTACACAAAACAAAAACAAATTACACGGAAAAGCAGTAATGAAGGCATGCATGATTTTGTTTGTTATTATAATTAGTGTAATTTTATAGTAATAATTAGATTGCTTTTGCTATATTAAACATTAAAGAAATTACACTAAAAAAAACAGTAATGAAGGCATCTCTTCTTAAATTTCTTTAAAAAAATAAAATACATACAATTTTAAAGTAACTGTTGCTTGCGGTATATTTTAATGTTAGGTAATGATTAAATAATTTTACATATCATTTTCTCATTGCTTTAGAAATGTAAATAGGTTTAGGGCCAAGTCAGTGTTTGGGCCCCGTTGGCAAGTCCTGAGTAAGCGTATGGGATGAGTTGGTGGGCTGAGTTGTTTCATGGACCAAGTTGACTTCAAGCCATTCTGCGCACCTATTCCTCCCCCTACGATTATTTTCCGTGAAATGTTGAGTTGGTTCTCAATGCACGCACGCCTTACCTTACATCTCCACGCAAACATTGTGTTTGTGGACGTCTAAATAATGGCCTAATTTTGAAATTGTTACTAGGAAACGATGAGTGTTTCTGCTCAATATATAAATCAACTTGTGATCATTAGGCTGACATATTAAATAGTAATAATAATATGAGAATCAATAGTAATAATTACCGTCCAAGAGCAATTTGTGTGGCACGGTGGGTTGTACTGTCCGAGTGTGCCTGTACCAGACATAATGACCCATAATAGCAGGTAGACTAGGCCTAGGCCTCCAAAGCACGATGTCTGGCCTAGTTGAAGCATTTTTTTTTTCAATAAACGCCCGTTGAAAGAATTAACAAACGTAATCGTCTTGGAAATATTCACCGTGCTCTATACACCATACCGTACAGTTAAAAGTCACTGACAGAAGTGATAGTTGTTGTTGTAAGAGCATCCTGTGCGTTGGCCATGGTTCCTGTATTTTTACGTGTCAACGAATCACACACTGGCAGGGAAAAAAAGGGTATTCCCCTTTATGCATCCAAGCGTGAGGTGGTGGCGCTGTCTAATAATTTGATTTAGAGTTGATTTACCGCTCTTTAAAAACGAAAGTGTTTAATATTTATTTATATTAAATTGTTATAGCATTATCCTTTACAAATCATAAGTAATTCAATTTTCTGTGTATATTTTATTATGTATTACAAACAATAAACTTTTCTTTCATTTCACTTCATTTATTTCGTCAAACATTACAAACAAAAATCAGACCGAGACGGGATACAAAAAGCAAACTAGATTTCTGTACAAAGTTTCTCCACCGATACATGAAATAAAATATACCAAATTGAATCATCATCAATCATCATCGTTAAGGTTTGTGAGCTTTCATCAAATATGTAACAAATAGCAAAGTACACAGTTGATTTAAAACATAATTCTTTATTAAAAACACAATAAAAGAATGTGACAAAAAAACCCAGGTACTTAGGTACAGGTAATTTGGCACATGTAGGGTGGAATCAACACAGAGACAATAAAACATGATAAAATTTAAAGAAATCAATTACAAATAAAGACAATTCACCCACTCAGACGAGTGTCTGGTGTTCCAGATAACATAGCTGCTGGTCACTGCTTTTTATACTTTTTACATCCCTTATTAATTAAAAAATATTATGTAGTCTCGTTTCATTATCTTTAGAAAGTACTCTCCTAGAACCCACCTTCAGGCAAAACGATGTGCATTTATAACCTTTAGCTTTGATATCTTTAACGATGTGGTCATATTTGCTACATTTATCGTTATGTGCCTTGGTTATATTTGGTTCTAGTGGCACCATCAATATGTTAAAATATGTACTAAAAATAAAATACACATACAATAAACACTTTAATTAGCTGGAAAAGTTATTTAAGTTATGTGATACATTATGAAAAAGTGGCCTTTGTAGCTACAAACAGAAAATAATATATACAACATTCTTTAAAAAATGTACAATTTTCATATACAGTATATGGTTTTCTTTTGAACCTGGCAATTAAATCCCCTTTTAAAAATATAATTTTTGAACATTAAAATATTGCTCTGCCAAAATGGTTATGTATTCACCCCTGTCTGTCTCTTAGCAAGCTTACGTAAAAACTAAGCAAGCAACTTAGTAGAATGGGTACATAATAATAAAGAAAGACATGATCAACTTTTTAGAAGAAAAGGCCAAAAAACATCAAGGTAAAGGAAGTTCGAATTTTTCTTTGAACTTGGCCTCAAGCTAAAATAGTGGATTCGTACATACATGTCTTGCATATTGCTCAGTATCCTCTACAGAGTGACTGCTCTAGTTAATATTATCAATAATCTCAAATTTATAATTTGAATTATGTTATGATTGATAACAATCTTTTTGGAGCTTCACATCTATTGAGCCAGATTTACAGACCATCAATTGGACACAATGTTCACTGGACACTCTAAGTTCAAAAGAACAATTATTTCTCAATAATTTTATAAATAACATATTCTGTTAAACAGCCAGAGGGCTGAAATCCCCAAAAGCAAAAGCTTGAGGAGGGTTGCCAAAACAAAAACAAATAACAAAACAAGACACACACAAGAGAAGTGACTAGTACACAAAACAAGACAAGACCTTAAAGGGAGATGAGATGCTTGTTAATTATGAGATGAATATTAATTACACATAATTAATATTAATTACACATAATAATTTAACAGCTTTGCTCTACCGAGTTTGGAGTAGTGTGCATGCATTATGCACAGAATTATTCTTGTGGTGTACAGTACTGAAGACCTAAAAACTAATTTTCCTACCATTAAATTTTGGTCATGGCATTGTGATTTAAAAAAAAATTAATAGAACATTTGTTGACCTGATTAGTTGAAATATTGTTTAACCATTCAAACCTTATATGGTCTTTCACAATGTGTAAGTTTTGAAGCCTAAACTTGTAAGGTTTCTTGACCAATCACTTCATCTGAAATTTGTCGGACTCCCATTCTGACTGCCACAATCATTTTCAGTCTATAAGTCCTAAAAAAATTAATTGTTTATTTGCCCTTTAATGCTGAAAATTGTGTAGGAGGAGCGGATGCAAAAAAAATGGGGTTTTTTTTCTTCTCCTGTCATCAAAATTTATAAATTAAATCGCAATGCTTGCCAACAAATAATTTTTTTTCAGGCCTAATCTCAGTGCCATATAAAGATTCTTGGAAATTCTAATGCAATTTTGCGGCTGCATGACCTAGTGAGTGTTTTCTTAACTTCTTAATGAAATTCTCCAAGCCACCTTCACGTATTACCCCTTTATCTTCCAAATCCATGATCAAACACCAAGCATCTTCATATTGTCTACGTGGCATATTATAAAGTCCATCAATGGCAGTCAAGTCGGGTTTGCATAATTCGTGGCCAAAATCCTTCAGCTTTATTCGGAACGCCGATATCTCTGCTACCTCAATCTCACATACCTTCGGACATAACGGGATGAAATCGGCTCTAATTTGCTTCTCCAAACCGTAATGTCCTGTACATTTGATTAATTCAAATATGATTGTAAGATTATTTGGATGCAGTTTACCAGCATCATACAGTTTTTCAAATAATTCATGACAGTCTTTGATCAATTTGACATTGTAGTTGTTTTTTAACACATCTCTTAGCAACATCTTTAAAATGTTCACTTTTTCACGGGATTCATACCAACATGCTATTGAGTGCAGCAGATCAAGGAATTTCGCCTCATCTAAAAAAATAAGCATTTCATATAACAAAACTAAAAATACTATAGTAATTCTTTTTATAATTTGTATAGAGTACCACAGTCATGTCGTCACGATGCCAGGTGGCGCTCTCTGTTGTCAACAGACGTAGGTTACCGTTCATTACGCCTAAATGACTGCATAGGCTTTCTGAAATAGGCATTTTAAAATCTAATATTTTACCATCAAAATGTACTAAAAACTCAAAAGCTCGCATTATACTAGTTATCGAACACACATTTAATCATCAATTAAAATTTACAAAGAAAAAGTAAGATACAACATCTTAATAATTACGTTAGAAATTGGGATCAATGGTTTGTTCTGAGTGGCGAAAATGGCATCGGGTTGAACGCATTTTGCAACAATAGCAACGGATTAGTATCACATGGTATCGTGACGTAACACTGTAGTACTCTACAGTTGAACTTGCCTAAGTCGAATCAAAAATGCCATTGAAATATTGTTCGACTTAGATAAAATTCGACTTACAGATTGTTAATTAAAAACAAACAAATTTGGCATGTAAAATAAGATCGACTTAAAAATTATTCGACTTGGGCACAGTCGACTTAGGCAAGTTTAACTGTATATTGTTTTCAACACTGGTTTCATCATTTCTTGATATCTAATAAAAGTTTATTATTGAATTTTTTTCATTATTCTTCAATAATGTTAAAGAGAGTATTATGGCAATATATATTGTCATTAATGATTGTTGCAATCACCACCACCATCATCATCATCATCATCATCTCATTATTGTTATTCGCAAATTATTCAAATCAAATATATCAAATATACTTTTATTTCCATACAATGAAGTAATAAAAAGATGTAGTATAAAATACAATAAGTGAAACAAATAATTGTAGACCATCCTGAAAAGTACCTGTCTCTTATACACATCTAGATGTGTATAAGAGACAGCTATATGCCTACAGTACTGTATGTGACCTGTAATATCACATAATCACAAATAAAAACTACAGTATAATGGTAAGGTAAATAACTGTCTCTTATACACATCTAGATGTGTATAAGAGACAGCTATTACGGTATATTTTAAGGTATTATTATTAATTTTAATTTCAATATTGATACTTATAACAATGCCAACTAACCGCAAATCGATCCTGAAGATGTCGCTGACGGATGATCAATAACATCTGAAAAAGATAGATTAATAATAAATTCATTGAATAAATGAACAAAACAGTGCACATAAAAACTACATTCAAGACATTGTATTATTTATTATTTTTTAAATTTTAATATTGATACTAATAACATGTCAACTAACTGCAATTTACTCTTGAAGATGTTGCTGATCAACATCATCTGAAAAGAAAAGATTACAGTGCACATACAAAAGACATTAAAGACACTATATGCCTACAGTACTGTATGTGACCTGTAATATCACATAATCACAAATAAAAACTAGAGTATAATGGTAAGGTAAATAATGCTGTATATATTTAGGCAGATAAGTGTAAATATATAAAATACAAATAAAATAATAAATTATATTTCTTTTTGTTCTCTTTCAAATTGAAATTGGAAATTTTGGCTGGGTCTCTGGGGATCTGCAGTGCCCTGAGTAATGTAACAAATACATACAGATACTAATTTTGACCTCTTAACCAGCAAGTGAGGTTAGTATTCAAGGAGTTAAATGTCAGACCAAATCCCCTAGATGACCTTAAACCAGGATTTACACCATAGATGCAGCAGCCAAAAATTCAGCTCAACCCATAATCATCTGTAAAATTTAAATCAAATTTGACTTCTAAATATTTAAGTAAAGCCTTTGGTTTAGATCTTAAGAAATGTGTTTATATAAGGGCAAGTGCTTTTATTACATTCATACCAACCTATAATTACACCAACTGAACCAACAGTTGCGATAAACTCCATCAACTCATCGTTGTTATTGAAGGTTTTATTATCTTGCAGATATTGTAACAACCTCCATTGATTTGTACAATTTTCATTTGGTACTTGGTACACTCCAGATATTTTGTTCAATTGGTCGTCAGAAAGTTCTTTTCCGATACTAATTACGCGACGACGGAACAAACTGAATACAGATTTTGTGTCCACATTTTCAGTGTATTCAAATCCACTTCTTATAATTACATCCTTTAGGTAAGTCAAACCGAGCAATTGAATGATTGCGATTAAAAGTATCAGGTTATTTTGACTCATATGTCCGGCAGTATCGAGTAGCATAAATATAGCAAAAGGATTTATGGCTTTTTGTAATTCTGTTTTGATGTTCACAAAATCGGCCGATGCAACTTTTAACATATCTAAGCACACGTTCCTTTTAGTAATTTCATCTGATAGGTTCGTGAGCATTATGCGATATTTCAATCTACAGTCTGGAATTAAAAATGTTGAAAGAATGGTTTATTAGAGCTTTAACCCGTCTGGCTAGGATGGTGAGGTTTGAACTAGGGTCTGATCGTTCATCTAATCAAATAAACCTCACATGAAAGTTATGTGGGTTAGAGAAAAAAATGTTTACATGTCCAGTGGCAGATCCAGGCATTCAATAGAAGGGGCCCAGGGAGGGAATTTCACAGATTCAGAGTCTAGACCACTTACTCTCACACCTAAATTTGATTAATATTTTTCTTTTTTCTCAATTTTTTTAAATAATTTTTTTTTGGGGGGGGGGAAGGGACCGGACTGGCTCAATTTCCTTCCTCCCACCCCCTTCCCCCGAATCTGCCACTGATGTCAGTTAGCATGGTGCTGTCTCCAACCCAATCCAAAACTTATAATTTAAATTAAAAAGAAGATATGACAGAATAATTATTTATTTATGTATTAATAGACCATCCTGAAAAGTACCGTGGTCTGAAAATTATTTTTTTAAATGATTATTATACAAGATGCATTACTAACCATTCATAATTTTGGCAGGTTCTGAAATTTTTCTTGATGTGGATATGGCACAGCAGGGCACTTCTCAAAAGTGTCAATATGAGTCTGTCAACTGCAATAAATAAATTTCTAGACAAAAAAAATCAAGGAATTATGTTTAAACGCAAACAATTCTGTATGGCACTACAACTGCATAGGCCATTGACTTTTTGTAAGGAGTCATTCAACATTATCAACATTTTCCCTAAAGAGACCCACCCAGTGGGCTGATCGGATGGTTGATTCACAGCATGAAAACTCACATGTTCCACAGAAACTCTCGCTGCTAAAAATAACTTGTTACATAATGTATTACTAGTGCGCGGTCTTCCTTGTGATGGGTATGTTTGGTTGGATTGGTTGTCATTGGGCAAAAACTAACCTACGACATCAAGAAAGAAAGTTCAGGCAAAGGCTGGCCTAGCTCGAGGTAAAGATCAAAGCCTAGGCGCCTATGCCTACTATATAACTATAATTAGGGTGTTCCCTTCCCTTTGATTGATGCTTGAGTATATGTCTGATTTTTTCACCGGAATATAGGCCTAGTTTTGGATAGGCCATGAATCACAGGGCAGTTGTTTAAATGCATGTCATTTCGTTCTGTTCATGCACACAGGAATCCCCGGGTATAATCCCATCCCCCCACCTTCACCTCCAAAAAAAAAAACAAAAAAAAAACCTCCTGCTCTCATTAATTAAAAAAAAAAAAAAGTGAACTAATAATTTTTTCTATGTGCCCTAATTATATAAATTTTAAGCATTTAACCATCCTATTTTACATTTACCAATAAAAATAAAATTTTATTTTTAATTTCTCTTCCGTCAGGATAACTTTGGCAAAACTACTTACTAATAAGAAAACAAAATTTTATTTTTATTTTTATTCCGCCTCCTCCGATAATCTTTAAAAAAAATAAATATACGAAACAAGGAATAAAAAAAAGTCTCGCCTTACAACTAATTGAACTGGGTACATAAAGCAGAATGTTGATAAATAAAAGTACGTGGGTCTATCTATTGCTCAATAAAGGACACAAGTGAAAAACACACACAATGTGCTCAAAATAGGGAAAGACGATCTTATGGTCGTATTTTGCATAGTATTTTATTTAACAAAAATGTATTTATTAGTTACAGTTGTATATATATGTGGTATTCGAAGGGTGCCTAGCCTAGGCCTACATAATGTTTAGCCTATGTATGTTCGGAACATCTTCCTGCTATGTAATGATGTTCAGTAGCCTTCGGCCGGATGACTATGTAAGTATCCATGATGAGCAGCCTGGGTTGTTGAGTAGTAAAACGTTCTCCAAATACTACAAATATCAGTGATTTTTTCCTAGGAAAAATACCTACCAGAGTTCCTTAATTCGTTTTCCAGTCTCTTCTTTGGTTAGTTCCCGTAAATCTATGAAAATAATACCAGAGCAATATGAAAACTGGGAAACAGGTGGTGATCCTGCTTATACTCTTTGTTATGGAATAACCCGGTTTTAAAAATAGATTAAGCTACACTTTAGGGACGAGCGCAGCGCGTAGCTACGAAAGCCCATTAGTGCCAATAAGGTATATGTTCAGTAATCCGTAATAATGAATTACCAATTCGTAATTACGGATTACTAATCCGTAATAACCAATTACTAATTCGTTATTACGGATTACTAATTCGTAATTACGAATTATTAATCCGTAATTACGAATTAACTAATTCGTTATTACGGATTACTAATCCGTAATTACGAATTACTAATTCGTTATTACGGATTACTAATCCGCAATTACGGATTAGTAATCCGTAATAAGGAATTACTAATTCGTTATTACGGATTAGTAATGTGACATTGTTGAAAGTAGCATACTTCTTTATTTCTGTATTATGTTAAATTATTTAGTTTTGATCATTTTTTGGAGACGAAACGTTGACAATTTAACGATACACTTGTATGTGTTATGTATGTTATACAATGTTCAAGTTGTACAGAAAATAACAATTATTGACGAAAGAACGTGAATCAGTGGGTACAGGTTTTTTTTTTCTTAAATTGGGTCTAACGCATTCTTTTACATTATTTGAGATTGAACGAGCGGTAACGTTCCTGCTTCTTGCATTGTAGACCCCGGTACAAACCCAAAAAATGCATTTATATAATGTGAATTTCTTAGCATGTAGAAAAAGTAGAATATTGCCCTGTGTAGAGCAACAACACAGTTTTTTAAATGCAGAAAACACTGTAGAACAAAAATAGGCTATCAACCGCCACAATATAATAAAGTGATAAATCATAATTTCAAATCAAGCTTCAGAATGCAGGACTCGCAAAATATCGTATATATTAATCGGCTCTCTCAGTCCATTGGACATTCAAATATCGAGGATGTCAGTCATTTGGATATTCAAGATGGCCACCACAAAAGTCGTTGAAAATTAAATATTTTGGTATATAATTCCACCTCTCTGGTGTCTAACTATATGTTATTGGGGTCACTTAATTCAAAGAGAACTTTTCAAAATGGTAGGATGACAGCCATTTTGAAATTCAAAATGGCTGCCCTAAAATTTCATTAAAAAAAAAATTTTACTTTTTATTGGAAAATAACGCCCCCCCCCCCTTTCAAAATCCTGGCTACGTCCCTGAAAGAAACTATGATTATTCGACTCAGAAAGCCCAATAACACAGGTTAAACATCAATTTTACTATTTTTCAACGAGAAGAAATGGAATTATACTGTGGAACATTTAATTTTCGACCATGACGGCGGCCATCTTAAATTTAAAAATGTCTCATTGAATTCGGTGACCCCAATAACATATAGTTAAACACCAGACTTACGATTTTTCATTGATTAAAGTAAAGTTATGAAGCAATATCTGAATTTTGGCAGCCATATTAAAAACGGCTGCTTAAAACATGTTCTGCCCATTTTCTCGAGGTACCCCCCTCCCGCTCAATTTTTTATTTATACCCTAGTGATGCCAAATCAGCAGAGAAACCTTGGTCCCTGAAAAATGGTCACAATAATAATAATAATAATTTGAATATTTATTAAGCGCTCTTATATATGCAAGATTACTAATCCGTAATAACGAATTAGTCAATAATAATTCGTTATTACGAATTAGTAATTCGTTATTACGGATTACTGAACATATACTTTATTGGCACTAATGGGCTTTCCTACGTAGCTGAATAATCTGATACTGTAGTAAAATTGATGATGATAATGTATCATGATGATGATGTCAGGTGGTGGTCCTGCTTATACTTTTTGTTATGGAATAACCCGGTTTTAAAAATAGATTAAGCTACACTTTAGGGATGAGCGCGTATCTGAATAATCTGAATACTGTAGTAATATTGATGATGATAATGTATCATGATGATGATGTCAGATGATGATAAGGGAATTAAAATACTGTATGATGATAAGATAAATACATATGAACATGGAGGTATTATTGAGGAGATCACTCGAAAAAGCTACGCGCACGCAGCGCTATGCAAATGAACCAAGATCAAAGCTGCCGCAGCGCGTGAAGAACTTTTGCGCGATGCCTTTGAAGTCCCATGTGTTCCCCGCCATCAAATTTTCAGCAGGCACAGTTTACCAAAAAAAAAAAAAAAACATGGCGAAATGGAGAGCACCTTCTTTTCTCGATGCGCACTACATACAGTCAATCACTATGGCTGCGCAATCGTCCCATTTTGAAGCTGATACATTTATCTCTCATAAAATATCAAACATAATTATATTTTCCACCAAAAAAAGTTTCGAATTTAATGGAACATTTACATGGCCTTTAAAAGTATAGTATATTTTAACTTCAATTTCCATAAATTGGCCAAAATTTGCTAATTCTAATTTTGTGGATGTGGACGATGATGATGATGATGATGTGGATGATGATGATGTGGATGAT